CTGTTTACCCCTTTGCCTTGCCAATCGAGGATGCTTGCGGCGAGAACACAGTGGATTTTGAAGCTCCAGTTGCAAGCAGTTGAAGTGCCACTGCACCTGTGAAGCCACATGAGAGAGGTAGTCGAGATGAAAGGCATGCTATGTTGTGCGCCTGCAATTCCAAAAGCTCTTCCTGCAATCCTTTGCTCCTTCATCATGTCACAAGTGGTGTCCAGCTGGGGTCACCGAGTCTAGTGACTCTAATGAGTGCGAGGATACTGGGCTTGGCATAGTTCTTCCTGCTGGTCAGTGCCGATCCTATGGGAAGTGCTTGGCGAGCTCAGCAGTGATTCTTGGCGCACCTCCCATCATCTCCCCATCTCCAGAAAAGCAGCTTAGAATGTTCTGATTCTTTGTGTGGATGGGTTGCGTGGGAGCGCTGAACTTCACGAACACAAGTGAAGATGGACCATCAAAACCCCACCTGACGGAATTTTGAAGGTGTCGGGTCCATTGAAGGTTCTCCATGCTGGGCTTTCTGGCGGAGTTTGCTGCGCGCTTTGCTTGCCATCCGAAGCAATCGTCCTTGCTGCTGCACCCAGCTAGCACTTTGGCCAATAGTTTGCCGAACATATACGCTGCTAGATCATGCTAGCCTGATCCAACCGACAGTTTCTTCGTCACTGATTGGCAAGCTTCAGGAGGTTCTTCATCGTAGAAAGACCGTGATGTGACACTCATGATGTCGCGACCTATCACCAATACACTGAGTCACAAAGCTCTGGCACTTCGAAGATGCTGTCTTGGTAAGGTGTAGCCGACCTCCTTGTGCTTCTAGGCAGCTTTGGCAGTTTTTAAAGGGGATGGAGACTGGTGAAGGGGGTGAAGGAGCCACGCTAGTTCACGACCAACAACTTTCGATCACCCTATTGCATTTGCTCCAAATTTAGGTAGCATGGTTGGTTACGCTTTGAAGCTTTGTATGCCTGCGGAAAAAGGCTCATTTCTCTCCTCATTTCATTCCAGGTCTGCCCATTCTGACTCATTCTCATTTTGGGATTTACACCAGCATGACTTTCAGCAGTTTCAGCAGGGCTCAAACTGAGATTGGTTCAGAGTCAGAAGACTGTGTTCAGCTGCATGGGATTCAGTGACAAAAGTGTTGTACATATTATATATGTTACATGTTTTTAAGAGCACTATTTTTTGGGTTTGTGGTTGTCTCGTTGCGCAGGATCTTTCCCAGTGACATTGGCTTATTTGGCAGGTGGGCCATATGGGTGCAGTGCTGAATGTGAAGTTGAATGCAGCTCTCATGAACAAACAGCGCAGGACACCCATGTGACAATAGCCAGAAGAGGAAACAACCCAATATCAAGTTCTCATCATTCTTGTTGAGCAACCAATAGCTTCAGACCAGGCTTCCAAATTTCCGAGCCTACAGGCGCGGAGATCAGCTACAAGGTGCTGAACACAGCTCGAGTGCTGCGCCTTTGGCGCATCTTGCTGCGCATTGAGTGCTATTCGAGATATGCCTCCTTAGAGAGCTCTCCATGCCTTGGCCTTCACACATAAAAGAAACACCATTCTTTGTGTCTACGACGCATTGCAATGGCGCTTGAATTTGCTTTTCCATCGAACTTTTCGGACATCGGACTTGCTGCGCCATCTATGAAAGCAACACCATGGATTCAAGCAGCATTGCCTTGAGGCCTCTTGGCCCTTGAACGGTTCGTCCCAGCCTTCCAGGATGTGCTACAGGTAGGAGACGTGCCACTTTGTGCCACTGTCGTGCCACATGACAGTCACTAAAGACACGGACACACACACACAAAAATAACACCACACTGTGCAATTTCGTGACCGAAGAGCTGTAGGATTGATTTTTCACAAGCATGCTCGTAACTGGCTGGGTAACCTGCCTCAACAAGTGCATGAGGAACATTTATGTCAATCTACTCCAAGGCTCAAGCTGATGAAGGCTATATAGAGAAGGGTACAGAGAGTACTTGCAGCCAGCTTACATGTACTTTGTGATTTTGGATGATTTTGGCCCATCCGCTGCAGGTGATCATGAGCCGAGGATATCAAGTTGTGAACGTTTGCTATGTACTCCTTTGCTTTTGGTTTCTCATGACAACGCCGCTCACATTCAAGCAGATTCAGGGGGAAGCCTAAAAGGATCTCGTCAACTAGGTATCTAGCTTGTCCGATGGAGATATTTGCTGTGTTGTTCTTGATGGGAAAGGCCACATCATCTTATGGTACCTATATATATATGTATAGAATCTGGAAACTTGTATTGGGTCGAGTACCTGGGTCAAACCACTTGCAATGGGATGCAACTGCTAGCAGTGTTGTTTACAGCTGGTTGTCATCATCATGCTTTAAGGCAGCTGCGTAGTGCCACGTTCGGCATGCTTGACAAGTATTCCAATGCGCTGAAACTAAACACCTCATTTATGCAAACTTGCTTGCAACGCAAAGTGCGTCAGAAACAATTCTAGCGAAAACCTGGAGCAGGTGCAGAGGCAAATCCTTCTTATTGTTCTGCGCGCACGGCACTGTTCTTGTCCATGTTCTGTGGGAACTCAGGTACAACTGGTACTTTCTCCACAGTGAGTTTCAGCTGAAGAGTGAAGAGAAGACCTTCGCATGCTGGTACAGCAACTATTGGCCACTTGGCAAGATTGCACATCACAAGTTTTGCATTTCAAGGGTGGAGGAGAAATGTAGAGTGTCAAATGAACAAAATGAATTCTCAGGATTTACTCTGACCTCGATTTGCCTTACAGTACAGTACTTGTTTCCTCACCAAACAGCATGACAGTCGTTAATTTACCAGAGAAAGCTACTCAACGATGCCGCTTTGCCTGAATAGTGTTTGCCAGGTTTGCCATGCAATTCTCGCAGCTTGACTACTTCTATCTAGTTGCGAGCCTCGATGATTGACAACCCTGCGTGGGCTTTTGAAAGGGTCTGCGGAGAAGCGAGGAGGCAAGTTGCAGGTCTCTTGAAATCTATGGTTTTCCATCCCTGTCCCAACACGGGCTCTGAAAAGCACTGTTCCTACCAGAACCCAAATTCATCCCGCTTTGGTGCTTTCGACTGGTTCTTTTCTTACTAGTTTGTATGGCTGTCAACCCAGTTGTTTGGACTCGGCTTGATGCGCAGTCGCAAGAATCACAATGAGCGGATATTCTGTCTATGAATTAGTTTCCCCCCAAGTCTTGGTTGTTGCCACTTCGTTTCGCACATTGCAAGCGTGCAATCATGCTTCGCGTGCAGAGGCTCATCCACATGAGTGGGGACTATCCAATGACCGAGTACCCGGTGAAGGTGAGGGCTATGCACATTTGCAGCCAAGCAACAATTTGGCACCTAAGATCACTTCGTTCAAACAACATTTTCCATGAACGGGCTCGTTGTCCTGAAGGCAAACAGGAAGCACCCAGTTCGAAAGTCAAGAGTTCGAAAGTGAAGTGACGGAACAGGACAGCCAGCTCATAGCAGAATTTTCACCTCTTACTGAAGCTTTGCCTCAATTGGGCAGGATTTCAAAGTTGTATACTGTATTGTCTTCAAGTGGTGTTCCTCTTTTTTTAAAATTATTGTGGGCCTCTTTAGACGCCAGCTCTGGGGCTATGTGAGGTGAAAGTCATGTACTCAATATCCCACCAGACGAGGCAAAACTCTGACTATCCTCCTGGAAACCCTATGTAAGTTGGGAGTCCAACAATCATAGTATTTTAAGCAACTTTCTTGCGTATCGTCGTTCCTTTCTGAGGCTCTTTGTTCGTGGCTTGGGCCTTTGTCACAATGCCAGTGGCCATGTTGGCCGCTGCCTTCCACGACGCACTGGAAAAGCGGCGGTTGGTCGCTGCCAAGCGACGCCATGAGGTGGGGAGGTCTACTCAGCTTCAAAAAAGAACCATAAAAGGAACAGAAGAGCACACTAGTGATTACATACGTATACATATAGATGTGTATATATATATATACACACAATATACATCAGTATCTCAAAAAACAACGGACATTATATGATACTAGTATGCACTAGGGGGTATGCTGTGAGGAGGAAGACTAAGCAAGTAGCTGGCTGGCCAGAGGGGTAAGTAATAGCTAATAGTTCGGCCCCTGCTAGACATCCTCAAGGAAGCTCCCCCGAATGAGTCAGCGTTTTCAATGAGCTTCATGAGGGTGTCGTTCATCATAGTTCATCCCAAACCATTCAGCCTTGAACGTCACAAATCCATTAATTCACAAAGTCCACAGAGTCAGCGTTCTACGTTGATGATCTTCGTTGTTGAGAACACAAATCTTAGTCCAATTTCTCAACCTGAAGATAACGGAATGGAGCAACAAGCAACAACTCCTTGCAATAATTGCTGCAGGCAATGTGCAAGATCGTCCGCATGCTACGGCGGGTGATTTTGCGTCGCCGCTTCAGGCGGGGAATTGCAGTTTTATGTCAGGTGCCAGGCGGTGGTCCCTGTCATCCCAAACTGACAGACGAGAGATATGGTTGAGACATTCTGTCACAGATGCCGTGAATCAGCGGAGGCACGTGGTGGACACGGCCTTTGCAGAGCACCAGCAGCAGTTTACTCGCGTTGGTGTGGCAAGGCGCAAGTATCCTGGCTCCTTGGCCAATTTGCATCAGAAGCATCAACCCCGATCAATGCAAATCAATGCAACAACAACCCAGTAACTTTGCTTGATTACAACCTTCCCATCTGCAACGCGCCAACCAATCATGGGTTTGTGAAGCATAGGCAATCATGGTTGTGCGGACAAGAAGTATTAGGCTTTGTTCGAGCTCTGTCAATTTCTGATGCTTGAGCTGCTTGGGGTTCACTGATGTTTGCTGTTGGCAGGATCGCATGGACATATCCAACTAGCACCGTCAATGCACCATCCACCTGCATAGCTTCATTGCAGGTTTGGCCCAGTTACTGGGTTTCTTGAACTCCAATGAGATTCTTGGATGGAAGGTGGGCATACGTAGTAGCATGTTTGGGAGAAAAGGCTGAATAGAACTTGGGGACAGGATCTTGAGCGGCTTGAACGACTTGCTTGGCTTTTGTGAAGGTTGGAAGTTGCGTCTCCAATAGGTGGATGTGACATAGGATGTGACTGACACTGTAAGTGCTCTAAGGGTTTGTTTGCCGTGTGGGACAATCCAAAGCTTTTCAGAATTCGTTTAGGTCTAGGTGGAATATGGTGGGATGGAGTTTTGCTTCATATGCGGCTCGTGAGCTCAAAAGCTCCTCAGTGGCAACCAGTGCGATCCGTTCTAGATTCTGGAGTTTCCTGAGAGAACCTGAGAGCCAATAACCTTGGGTCTTCGTATTGCTATTGAACGCACACGTGACACACTCCAAGCTCAGGAAGTACCTCTTTGTGCCTTGGCCGCGAGATAAAGACCCAGAGTTGTGGTGAGACTGCGGGAAGGAGTGCGGCCCCTTGCCACCTTCCTGTCTTGACTCTTGACCATGCTTGACCAAGGCTTTGGTATCCCACTGGCTGAAATAGGAACTTGCACGATACAGTACAGTAGTCAAACATGATCAAACATGGACACCACGGTGGCCAGACGTCAAGAGTAGAAACATTGCTAGTGCCTCCTCAACAGTGCCACAGCCAGAGGAAGGGTCAATAGCGCCCCTTTCGCGTATGGCACCAACATGCAGGTGCTTGGCGTTGCCACGGCAGAAGCTTGGCTTATTCAGGAGGGAAACAATGAAGCCTCTACCATTCGAAACCAACGCGACCTCCTCACGTCCCAATGGCCATTTTACACATATATTACGTATATATAAATAGTGTGTATATAAACACCATATATATATATATAGGGGTGCTCAGTGAGTGGTGGCGACGACAGTACAATGTGGTATTGACCTTTGATGACCATTTTGACACTGCAAATTGTGGCACTGGTGACACTGAGGTGTCAAACGATGGACATGTCACGAAAGGTAGCTTCAGCTACCTGAGTTCAATTAGCTTTAGCTACAGGGCAGGATCCTCCCACACGCCATGACTTTGACTCGATTCTGTATGACAGGAGATCAACTCCACCCTGGGACGAGTGAATTTTCCTTCAATTGTACTGGTACTGTGGCTTCGTGTGATTGGATTTGTATCGAGCTTCTCCTCCCTCCTCGTCATTTGGCTGCTGCTGCTGCTGCTGCTGGTGCTGCTGCTTTGCTGTGATTGGATTCATATTGAGCTTCTCAGCTGCTGCTGCCGCTGCTGCTGCGCTACTGCTGCTGCTACTGTTGCTCTGCTGCTTCTGCTGCTTCTGCTGCTGCTTCTGCTGCTGCTGCTGCTGCTGCTCTTCAAATCCCACGGATCTCTCTCTCTCTCTCTCTCTCTTTCCTCTTCTTCTCTCTTCTGTCTTCTTCTCTCTTCTCTCTTTTCTCTCTCTTCTCTCTCTCTCTCTTCCTTCTCTCTTCCTTCTCTCTTCCTTCTCTCTTCCTTCTCTCTTCTTTCTTCTCTTCTCTCTTCTCCTCTCTCTCTCTCTCTCTCTGTCTCGCTCTCTCTCTCTCTCTGTCTCTCTCTCCCCCCCTCTCCCTCTCTTTTCTATCTTCTCTCACCTCTTTGAAAGTTGAACTTAGTGACCTACCTTTCGTCCACCCCCTCCCACTCAAGTGACATTTACCATCATTTACCCATGAGCCCTGAACATCTAAAATCGATCCATGGTGGCATCCGAAGAAAGTAGTTTTCTTGTTCCTAGTAGTAAGGCCAGGAGCCCCTAGTAGCGTCCTTGCTCCTAGTAGCATTCTCGTGGCTTCCGGAGTGCCAAGATGCATGTGGCCCTCGCCATGATGCGGAGCATTCCAGAGTTTCGCCCGGAGGCGAGATGCTCAGGGGGGTTTTCTTTTGATGCTCAACAAAAGGGTCTTCGGAAAACTCTTGTATTGTTTTAGTTTTGAGTGGTGGTCCATGAAACTTGAACTCAAAATTTGCATTTCGGGGAAGATCTTGGGATTGGAGTGACTCCCACAAACCAACTTCTGTTCTGAGGCAGGTGCTTGGGATGCATCTCGGCCAGTTGATATACGAGACAATACGGGACTCAGCTCCGAAATCTTTGCATTTCAGACAGGTGGGTTAGGTGTGATTGGGACATAGCCCGCTTGTTGTGGTTGGACTTCCAAGCCGTGGCAATCTACAATAAAGGTTGTTTAAGCTAATAACGCTAACCGGGGCCCTGTGGGACACCTCAACTAAGGTTTGCAATTTTTGGAGTTCTGCCATTATTGTTTCTTTTTTGTCAATCCCATGTTGCCCGAGAACAGCCTTCGCGACCAGATGGTTCAGCAGGCCAGGCGTCAACAAGATACCCCCCGTTCGCAGGGAACCATAGAGTTGGATGCAGCTGTGTTAGAAAACAGACCAGGGTATCCAAAACAGCAAATAGCTGAACACTTTGTCAACCCTTGCCCAGTGCTTGTATATTTATCACCACTGTTACATTTAGAGGTTCCTGCGAACACGTTGTGAGTTGTGATTCAACAGACTTTCTTTCATGCAGGGCTGCAGCTAGCGTGATTGCCTTGTTTGACAGTGGAGACGCTCAACTGACTGCGGTGAACCTCAGGTCGTGATGTTACCTCTGGTGACCTTTTTCCTACTGAACTTCTTGGGTTTGCCGGCTATTGGGGCGATTGTTTGGTCAGGCGGTGGATGATTGGATGATGTTTCAGTGGCATCACGAATCATCAATCACGACAAGGATGATGTGATTTTCCCTTCAATAAAGGGCTACGAATGGCCATATGAAAAAGTAGGTTCCGTGAGAATGCATGGTCACACAGCTATAGTTGTTCAGAAGGTTATTGAGAATGAGGCGACACATTCGAACACCTTTGCAACCAGTCTGTTGATTGTCGCTTAGATGATGGGTCTCACAGCCACAGTGCCGGCATAGAACTTCCAGCGTTACATGCTTCCATGTTGTGGTTGCAAATAGTTAACAAATGTTAACAAGTGGTGATGGCTTCACCCTTGTAGCCATGGCCTCCACCCTGGTAGCAATGGCTTCCAACCTATGAGTGATTTTTGAAACATGCAGCATGAAACAAGCGTGAACTTTGTTGCTGAAGATTTGGGCAGGATTTGCCCGGTTCATCGTTAAGACCCATGCTGTTGACTTTGGTAGTTACTCGTCCAACCTTTGGAGTTTGGTTTCAATAGAAACTTTCGGTTGTAACGTTGTAATTATGCATTTTGTATCATTTTGCGTTGGTTACTGTAAGCGATGCCGAGGTTTTGTGGGATGGCTGTTTTTGTTGCTTGAGTTTGGGGTGGTCGAAAAAGTTGTTGTTCAAATCAGGTCGTGCTGTCACTGCCTTCATGAATCCTCTCTGCCAGTGTTCGACTCGTCGATTCCTCTGCAGTTTCTTGGAATGCAGTAAGGAGAGAGATCTCTTGTATGGGGTAGACCGTCGGTAGACTGTTGTTCACAATCAGAGACAGATCTAAGACGACGGCGTTTCAGTGGAGTCCAACCTGACAGCCCCTACTCCCTATTCTTAATGTCCAAGGAGTGTATCGTGGCATGATTGTGGGGTATGATGCATGCAGCTATGAAGTACATTCCACCACTTGCACCAAACCAAGAACAAACTGTAGACACTGTAGACACTGACTGCCAGTCTTTGGCAGGCGGCCAACGATGTTTGCAACTCATGGCCTTCATCCTCTACTTTGCACATTTGGCCACTTAGGCTGAGAGGTTTGAAGCATTTTTCAGATTCTTTTTTGTTCTTACAATGCGTTTGCTGAGACTGAGAGGCGTTGGTTAATCGGACAGCTTCATGATGCTTCATAGTTCTATGCAATGCAAGCAATGCGCAAGGGATCCCAAGGTCCTGTCTATGCTTACCACGAGTTGTCTTACTTATATAGGTCTTGGACTCCCTGCTACCAAACAAGAACGTTCTTCAAAGAACAACTCAATGCTTAGGGACGTAGCACAGGCAAGTCGGCCTTCAAGGATTCAACACTTTTGGCTTCAATCACCGGTCTCAAGGAAATCACGATTTCACTCAGGTCTATCCTTCTGAGAGGAGGTTGCCACTTGACAAAGACCTGGCAAGATGGACTGGCAGGTGACAGCACTGATTTCGGGTGGAACAGTGTAGGCTGCCCTGTGCCCCTCAAGTTTGTGGCAAGATGCAATGTAGAGACAAGCGGGAGGACAGCGATTTGGCATACTGTATACTGTACTTCAAGTGTTGCTATATGGCTTTGGTCAGCGAGGTGACCTTTTCATGAAGCATAATGATATCTGTAGATGACCAGAGAGTTGCCAGGTAAGTTCTCTTCCGAGGCTAAGATGGAGCTGCGCTGCGCAGATAGCCCTCATCGTCAACTTCGGGCCGGACCCACCCAGGAAGATGCCATCGTTTGGTTGACCAACCCTGGAGATCCTATGTAAAAGCCACAGGATTGTTCTCAATGTCGGTAGGCTGGTCACAGTGGATCTGGAGAACGAAAACAATCTGCTCAGCTGTCACCACTAAGAGACCACCATTTAGGCAGCATCAATGTTGCACAAGAAATGACAAGCACAAAAGGAGGCATCCAAGTTCCAACCAATAAAAGCTCTAAAAAACTGCCACCAAGGCAGATCTTGGGTACATCATGCCTGCTCAGCCTCGTGTGGTCAGAGATTCGGGAGAGCTTGCTGGTGATGACCTTTGTGGACCTCTCAGCCTTTCAGGCATAGTATGACCAAGCACATAGAACTGAAGTACTGCATGGCAAGCTCTTGAGGGTTGAGGCGGTTCAATATTGTTGGACATGATTTGTAGATGTTTGTAGTAATCAGTCTTTCTGACAACCGGCCAAGATTGCCTATGCACTGCCTATTCACTTGATTTTAAGACATTCTCAACACGATGAACTGATAAGATAAGAGCTTGAAGCGCTGAAAGCCCGTAAAGCATGCTCAAGATGCTACGGCCCTGGACCCTGGACTGGCCCAATGTAACTTGTGCTGTTGATTCTATATATCCGTTTGATGCACTTGCAGAAGCTGCCTAGTAGAAAAACCTATCAACTTCCTGAGTCTGTTTCTCTGAGTACGTTTGCCAGTAAATTTGTTCCTCACCTCACTCAGGCAACTCTACCCAAAAAGTTGGAAAAAAACAAAGCCAGCAACCTTTGGTGAGAGAAAAGCCTGGAATTGTTCTTGGACGAATCTGACAGCTACAAATTTGAGAGCTGCACTTGCCACAGTGATCGATCCATGCCATGGAATCCTGTGAAGTGGCCGCATGGAATCGTGTCAGGGACCCAGACAGACACCTTTTCAGCTGCAACGTTGAGAAGATTTGAAACCTTGCTTGTTGGCCCATGCAGACCCCCTCTGCAGGCAGCCAACAACCTTAATAAGGCCAGGAGCCCCTAGTAGCGTTCTTGCTCCTAGTAGCGATGCCAGGAGCCCCTAGTAGCGCCCTTGCTCCTAGTAGTAAGGCCAGGAGCCCCTAGTAGCGTCAATATACAGAGGGTAAGAGTTGCCTAATTGAAGATCATTTGGGCCCATTTGGCCACTACGGGCAAGATTGAGGCGATGCAAAACTTGGCCAAGGCGCGCCGGTGGCAGCCAGCCTTGGAATTGTTGCCGCTTGGCTAGGAATCTGGAAGATTTCCAGCTTTGCCCTGCTTCTAGATGTCTTGTTTGTTTCTCACAACAAGAACAGTTGTAATCGCAATATACTCTAATTGTAATACTGAAATTGACAAGAAAAGACTCTGATCCGAGCCATGCCTCCGTACGAAGAAGAATCTGATAGCCCGCTGCACAGAAGCTTCACAAGCTGCAACAACACTTTGAGACAGTCGGAGAATCCAGAGACACCAAACATAGAGTAAACATAGTTCCCTAAAACGTCTTCAGGGGCCTGTGAGCCATGACACGAAATGGGTCTATTCAACAAACTTTTGCAAGAATTCTTTCTCTTTCATGCCGGCATCGCGGCATCAAGGCCCAGGTAGGCCGGTATCCTTTACCCGGACAGACGAAATAGAAGCAAAGGTCCAGCCAGATGTTCTTTTTTTTGTTCAGCTCGAGTCTCAAGCCCTTGAACACTGAACACATTCATAAAGAAGATGTCAACATGTGTTCAGTTTATGCGACGGCGATGGATCACGATATGTTGCGACGGAGGGCGTCGCATGCATTTTGGTTCTACGCATAGCTGGTGTTCCGGTCCGCCGGCTCCTCAGGGGTTGGAACGTTGGTGGGCTGCATCCATCAGAGATTTGGACGCAGCGCACGATGTGTTGTGTGGCCGGCCAGAATGCCCGTTAATCCGAGTCGTTCAGGACGCCACTCTATTTGAAGATAATGGAGGACGTGCTTGGTCTGCTTGGTGTGGTCGCTATTGCCGGCTCACATGGCGACTTTGCGGTCGTTGGTTCAGGGCGTCGAGGTTGTCCAATGATGGATCTGTATAGCGGCCGCTTTGGTGACGCTGTGCATATATCCGGGAACTCGGCTTGTGCAATTTGGCCTGGATGGCGTTGCGAGCAGTTGTTTAAGGTAGCAGCATCACTTGGCAAACATACTTGCAATGGACGGGGTGGGGTGGGGCTCTATTGACGTCACTTCTACTACTTGCAAGCATACTGGATGCGATACGCAATGGATGGAGTGGTTGCGAAAATGTCCTTGCCCAGAGAGGTGCAGTATTTCCGGTGTCCTTGAATGTCATGAGGCTTTGGTTTCGGGATGCTTCAAGTTTCTCGGCCATCGGACAGGTTAGCTCACCTGCATAGGTGGTGGGTGCCCGATACTTCTAATGTAGCATGAAGCGGGAAAAGTTCGCCGGTGCTCTTACATGGAGACTGTTAATAGCGAACAAAGTCATGTGTGCAAGCCTCGACAGAACCTTGATCTGAGGAAGCTAGTCTCTCACGCTGCACGCTCCTTTTTGTTCCACGACCAGCGTTATCTTGAAGTTAAGAGAGTGTGCCAATGGCTGTGGCGCCGAAACTTGAGGGTTACCACAGATCTCATACCTGATGAGATACTGAAGCAGCTAGCTGCGGCCTGCAAACTGCGCTAAAGAAAGAATATGTGTTTTGTAGGACATACTAGAAGTGATTAGTTTCGGGCGACCCCTGTTTCACACGTTTTTCAACAGTAATCGGAATACCAATGCGCTTTGACCAACCATGCTGCTGCCGTCCACAGGGTCTGAAGGACGTTGTACCAACATAGTTATATAGTTGTGTTATTCCGACCTGTGGCTCTGGCTAGATTTCTGGCTTGCAAACAAGGATGGTGTTGAGTTGACAACTCTGTGGGAACAGCTCAGCAGTAGAGCTGGCTGAACGAAGTATTGGAAGGGGACCTGGCAGAGATTTGCTCTGGATGACTCGCGTCTCAACGGAATTCTTTGCTTGGCCTAGGCATGCCGCCAAGCCACCTGGCAACAACCCAGGGGGATTTCATGGGATTTCCGGATTTCCAGGCCCTGGGACTGTGAGTTGGATTGCGCTCACATGCCTGTCAGTCCGGTGCAAGCAACTACATGGTCCGCCGCACGTAGACGGCTGGGTGGTTTCGGGACAATTTCCTGTGTGTTGAACACGGAAGACGTCGTTTTCTTGAAATTACCTTGGGATTAGCAATTCTTTGGTTGTTAAGGGGTTTTCTTGCGCAGTTGTTTGTTTCCAAAAAACTACTTTGGGTTCTCAGAGTTGCATGCCCCGACGCAACAATTCAACAAATAATTTTCTGCAATTTCAGATTGGTTCCAACTTCATTCTCCATTTGGAGAGCGAATTTGTTGTTTCACAGCACGTAATCGGCGCAAAAGGAAACAGCACCTACTCATTATGACCAATCGATGACAATGTTGTGACAACGATGAAACTGTTGTGAAATCGACGACTGTTGTGAAAACAAAGTACCCCCACCCCCGCACCCAACCCCATTTTAGGCACACAACTAAACTATGCTATATTAGATCATCGATGACGATGTTGTGATGTCGATGACAATGTTGATCAATGTTGTGAAATCGATGACAAACAAAAGGTACTGTGCATACATGTACATACCATGCCTTTTCTACATAATTGCTCGAGACCATTTCGACGCGCTCCCCAGTGACCCTGCGGACACATAGAAAGTGCTGTAAATACCACGTCCTCGAAATGACGCGCGGCAGGCCACTTTCCGAATGCAGTGTTGGGGTGGTAGCCCTCCAGTCCGCCGAGTGTTGCACCCGCGGGCTTGAATTCGGGTCATATCCACTCGGCCATACCAAGCAAACATAGAGTCGGCATCCGCCTCGTAAGTGACTCTACACTGAATATAAGAGCGTTGCATTCATATTCTGGCGTCCTCCTAACCCTGGCAAACGATCGGGGACTCACAAAAAAACATTAAAAGCACGATAATGTTGGATCGTGATTAGTAAAGGGGGGTCCCCCCCTCCCCTAACTAAACGAATGGGTGGTCGTCTATCATAAACTAGTACCAAAACAAGTCTGGATTCCTGGTAGATTTCCTTTTGCAATTCAATGTTGTATTCATTTTCCTTTCATAGATTGTATTCAGTTTCCTTTCTCAGGTGCTTTGTAATTGTTCTCAGCCATGGCTTTGGTAGTATTAAGAATGGGCAGATCTATTTTTCCTCTGGAAAAAACTGTTCACAATTGACAACCCCTTTAACACATCTATTATTGATGATCAGGTGCCTTCCTGGTCTACTACCTTGAACATTTGTTTAGGAGCAATGTTCACATAAAGGAT